CTTTACCAGGCTTACAGCCTTCTGCAGTGACTGGGTCACATGAGGAAATCACCAACAAATTCATAGTATCTGGCAACTATTTATGGCCTTGGGGTCAAGAATCAATCTCCCTGTTCTCTAATTTCATATTCAACCACTGAGTGATGGATTTTTACATTGGCCATTTGGAATGGAAATAATGACTTAGAAGTTGCTAATTATCAAATTAATAGATGGACTTTAGTAGAAGTGCTTTTTGTCATGCTATTGTTATCACAGTCAACATAATAATACAATCCTTCCCTCTCTTTCTTTCCCTTTCATGGACTCTGTACTGTCATAAGGAACAGCTGATCAAAAAATTGGATTGATAAGATTATATCCAAAAGAAACTTTATGTTTTCTAAACAACACAGGCAATAATTGTTTCTCCTCGGCCTTAAATGTCATTGGAAAAGCTACCACATCCTCAACAACTGATGTCATCCATTAGTCTAGCTACCCCACAAGTAAAAGGAAAAAAGAAAAGAATCTCTCCTCCTATTCACTCACATGGTGGTAACACAACAGCTCTGAACATATTGCATATTGTGGGAAGAAATTTTGGGTAGCAAAAACACAATCAACACCATTATAATTCTCAGATATTTCAGATCGTCTACTGCTGAATTCAAAGCAAATACTAATACTATGGGATGTCATTTAATCCAGGTTAAAGTCACTGTGAGTCTGAAACCTGTGTAAAATGGGATCTGTGTTGGATTAAAACTGGTGCTTCTGTGTCAGCGCAATTAGGTATAGCAGATGAAGAATCAACTCTACGTGAAGGTTAAAATTAATTTTATTGAGATCAGTTACACTATCAGAATCTTGCAAATCTGATTGCGCTGTAAATTCCCCCCACCCCTCTGTCACCTGTAGACTTGTACTGAATTAGGGAGGCATCTGCCTAAGCCACTTCTGAATATTGTATCTCAGGATTTAAAAAACGAAATTCAGCCCTCCTTATTTGGGTAGTAATTTTTGCATGTCTCTGTCAAGATCATCTTCCTTATTCTCTACAGTCTGCAGCTTACGTTTTCTCCCTTAATATGTAACCCAACAAGGGTTCATGCTTGTTATCCCCAATTGCTTTCATTAGTACTTCAATCTGTTTACGGTTCTTCAGTGGGATAAAGATTTCAGACACTGTAACTTGAAGCCAAAGTAATCAGAAAATGCTTACAACAAGCCTACAACTTACATCATTTGGTCAGTGACCATTCAAAATTACGATGGTGCTGAAAAAGTGACTTAAGTCCTAGCCATTGCAGAATGTCAATTGATCAAACATTGCAGTGACAATTGGTCGCATGATCAAAATTCAGGGTCTTGGCAACCTGCCCACATTTATGATCACAGAGAAGCTTCAACTTCCCTCACCTGCCCCCCCTATTCCCCCAATTATGCCATATAAGCTTCCCTGCAGAGCAGCACTTGCCAGGGGGGAGATCTGGGGCTGAAGTAGAGGCCCAGGGTCTTCAGCAGACTCAGCCAGCTGCCACCTCCCCACAAAGCCCTCCCCCCATTCCATAGGCCCTGCAATGCTCAGCTGACCTTCGCCATCTTCCTCCCGCTGCTGATCAGGCACGCCTACCTTGACCCTATGTGAGGCATCTAGTAGTCACCAGGGGTGGGATTCTCCCAGTTCGCACCTATTTGCTAGAACCGGTTGTTAACATTCTAAGCAGTTTGGAGAACTGGTTGTTAGAAGAAATTACTGGCCTAATCCTGTAAGGAAGGCAGGAAGGAAACATTCTGGGGTTGCTTACAGAAACTGCCTTTCAGTTAACCCTTATTACATTCTTGGCAGGACTAAACTTCCTGTCTCAGGAACTTCTCTGGAGGTTTTTTTTCCTTCCTTTGTTGGTACTTTGTTTGTGTGGAGTGACCATTCAAAGTTACAATGGCACTGAAAAAAGTGACTTATGACCATTTTCACACTTACAACTGCTGCAGCATCCCCACAGTCATGAGAGGCCAGGCAAAGAGATGTGTGCCTCAAGGTGAGTGATACTGAGTTGGCCACGCCCAACCAATAACACGACCACCAAGCCATGTCCACCCAGTCACATGACCACCAAGCCACACCCACTATCCAAGCCACGCCCACAGAACTGGTTGTTAAAAATTTGAATCCCACCCCCGCCAGCCACCCCAAGCCTTCTCCCTGAGGCTGCTTGCTCCATTCCCCAAATCGCAAGTGCCGTTCTCCAAATTGTGCCTCCTGTTCTTATCTGTAGCTCAGGGTTGACATGAGAGGTATTTGGATGTTTCATGATCTAGCACTGATGATGTTACTTTGGGTAAGGAAACGTCTGCAAGAAAACAACCAAGCTCAGAGAGCACCAAGGACCCACCACCCCTCGCTTCAGAAAACTTTCGGAAAGCTTCTGAGGTTTTCCAAAGCTTTGTGAGAATGGCGCAACTTGCCATTCTCCAAATGGTGCCCCCGTTTTCACGAGAGCTGAGGAAGCCTCAACAGTAGAAACAGGAACAAGAAGACAGCGAAGGTCATCTAGGGGGGTGGGATGCAGGGTGGCTGGAATGCTGGACAGCTAGGATGGGAACACTGAGGGGGAATACCCACAGCGTTGGGGGCAACCCCAGACCAGGGGCATGCCAAAAAGTCCCTGCTGGGCCAGGCTGGGCACCTGAGGCTCCCAGTGTGGCTACAGCTTCACACGGTTCTGAGGCTTCTCGCAGCCCACAGCCAGAGTGCACCAAGGAGCTCATGAACCCCAGCATAGCCTTTCCCCAGCCTTCCTGACCTTGTGCCACACCACAGCAGTCCCTCTCCCAACTTATGCACAGCCTGAACTGGGCTTCCCAGGGACTGCCCCCCCCCCCACACACATACTGAGGCGCCCCTGCATACTTTACCTGGGATACCCTCCACTTCCGGCTGTGTCTGGAGTTACAACAACAACCAGGATTGCCATCGCTATGTGATACTGTCACATTACATTGTGCTCTGCAACCACATCACTTAATGGTAGCCATTCTGGTCCCTATTGTAGTCTTATGTCAAGGACTACTCTATATAAAAATACTTCTGGGTTATCTGCTATGTAATAGGTTCAAAGTTTTTACTATGATAACTAGTTTTATGTCAAGATGAAATATCTAGAATGCTCACCTCACAAAATTCAGCCATTTGTTAGTTACAGTTGAGTAAAAATAAAAGCAAAAGGAAGAGTCACAACAACCATTTTGAGGTTCTTGCAAGAACCTGCAAGAACCTGCATGAACCAGATTAGACTGTCACTTTCACTGATAATTAGTTGTACAGTATGACACAGCTGCCTACAGTATATTAAAAATAAATACCTTCTCTTAGCCCATTTAGTTATACAAGTTTTCCTATTTCCTTCCCCATCACTGGTGGGTTTTCTAAAAGTTTGTGCTAGGGATGGAAATATAATTTAAACTGTATAAACTAAGAAGACAATAGTATCTGTCTCAATCTATCTATTCTCTACTTTTCCTGAGAGATCCAGCCTCTTGTAAGAATTCAGAAATATTATGGGAACCCTTGTTTTATCTAAATAAAATTATTATATAATTAAATAGAATAGTAGAAGGGAAAAAAACCTTAAACTTCCACAACACAGCTATTATGCCAGTGCCACCTGCCCACATAGACACACATCTTACAGCAGTAAAGCAAGAATAAAATCTGTGACAAATGTAAAAAAAAAAACCAAACCCACAACATTTAAAATTAGGAAACTAGGGGCCCCAAATTCATTCATCCTTTCAACAGGCCATCAATTATCACCCATCTGCTTCCTGCAATATGTAAAAAAAATAACGTTCACCATCCTCAGTCAACCATATATTCTGTATAGATAGATGGAAAGCGAGCAAGAAACTGCAACGTTCGACCCCCCCAATCTTTTTCCAACATTATCTTACTATCTCCTGCTTGTACAGAGCTCTTAAACATGTAAAGTTACTTGTTGTCTGTTATAATTTGCTTGCCTGCTCTTTGAGCTGACATAACGATTTTATGAGGAAGACCTGCATTACGTGAGCAAATTACTTATTCCATAAAGCATACCTTGGTGTACTACAAATAATGAGGAATGTATTATTTATTAGATTATTTATTTGTACGTAATAATGAATAATGTACATATTCATCTTAATTAATGACTCTGCATATAAAAGCCCTTTTAAAATGGAGCTTAAATATTAAGATTATTAACAGCTACTAGTTCTGATGTCTAATATGTGATATTTTGTATTATATGGAGATACTGTCTAGAACAAGCTTGGGTGGTGCTAGAACAGGGGTGGGCAATTAATTTTCCCAAGGGGCCACATGAGAAAATGGGCTATTGTGGAGGGCAAAACAAGGGGTGTAGGCTCTGATGCATGCACATATGTAAATTTTAAAACATAGCAGTCACCTTCCAAAAAAAAAAAAAAGTAATGCAATTGTATGGTTTGCACTTATTTACATGTGATTTCTAACTTCCAACTGACCTCATGCAGGCTAGACAGGAACAGCCAAAGGGCTGTAAAGTGCCCAAGTCTGTGCTGAAAGATTTGTGTCTTTGTTAATACTGAACTTTTCTCAAACATCTGGGTGCAAAATGTAGAAAATAAAGAACACCATCACAGCATCTAGAACAATTCAGGCTAGTTCCAGATAGAAAGTCCGTAAGTGTAATTCCTCAAAAAATGTCCTGCAGCTGTTTCAACTTGTCCATGCTGACAGATGAGAAAAAATATGGGACAGACCCATGCACAAAGCTCTGCTTGAGGTGAGGATAACTTCATAGTAAAAATTTTAAATTATCATCATCAAAGTTCAGTCTAATGCATAATTCACATGGTTAGGTGAGGTATTAGGTTATTATCAGTGGTGTGATTCAAAAATTTTTTACTACCAGTTCTGTGGCGTGGCTTGGTGGGTGTGGCAGGGGAAGGATACTGTATAATCAGTCAGAGGTGGTATTTGCCTATACTCTGACCTACTCAAAATTTCCGTTACCGGTTCTCCAGAACTGGTCAGAACCTGCTGAATACCACCTCCGGTTATTATATACAAATTACATGATAAATTTAGACTTTAGCAGAAGCAAAGAAGGAAAAAGGAAAGCGATAAAAGCATGATTATATCAAACGAGAACATCATCAACAGGTCTTTTAAAGGAAAGTAGGACTCATCTTATTCACTCCTATCAGTGATCAGAAATAGGGCAGGGCAGTCTTACAAGCAAATGTTACTCACTCCCTAATGTCTCTTAGAAGATACAATCATACATCTTTAAAGCTCTCCTTGTTAGCTTTCTCTTGATCTTTACTTTTTGCTTTCTTCCCTACCGATATTCAGAGTCCACAGTAAGCACGAAATTTGCTTAAGTCATTTCATAGTGCTTTTGAAACAGTACAATCCTCAAAAGAAGACTATGTCAAAACCAGACTTTTCCCACTTTGAATTATGCTCCTTTGACACACACAGTTCTGTCAATATATGGCTTCTAATTATCAGTTATCATTCTGTTCCCAACAGAATGTCTCCTTAGAATTTTCCTTTGGACCCAACATGATTCCTCAGACATCCAGGGAAAGAAAATTCAAAAGGCCCTTTTCCTTTTAAAAGAAAAGCTGAGACAATAATGAAAATTGGGCATGTTACTCACCAGCAAGCTTGTAGGAGGAATTCCTTCCGTTCAAGGCTTTGCTTTCACCCTTTTCATTTTTTTTTTCCAACTGAAGGGCAGAATTTCTCAGACAATAAACCATGCTCAATCCTCACAGGGTTATTTTGGCTTTCCCCTCTTTAAGCTTTTTCCCTCTAAAACTTATTTTGGGAGGCAGGATTCTAGAATACATTTGGGTTTCCCGTGTCATCAGATACCTCCTGCTTGCATATGGCTGCTCATATTTTGATTTCATCATTTATGGTAGTCACAGAATGAAATTGGGACAACAATATTGGATGAATCAGCACTGTGTTAGGGTGTCTGTCAAAAAGAGATGCTTTGAATTAAACCTCTTTAAAAGGCTGCTGAAGTTGTGAAGTTATCAGAGACATATAGAGAGGATACATATGTAATTCCCTCTATGCAATTACGGACGGAATCTCAGATTTTCTGGGTAAGGGATCAATTGCCAAAAAAATTCCCTTTTCCATTATAAATTGTAACTGCCTATATGATATTTGAAGTAATTAATCCCAGCTGAAAGGGTTAGAATTATATTTTAAGTGGGAATGCCAGGCTAAGGGAATGGCACAAAGTACCTTAAGAGGGCAGCACTGTTGGAGTTATTTTGAAATGAATATTTTGAAAAGGCTGTGAGGTAATTTGTGAATTCTCTTTTGCCTTTCTATCTAGCAAGTAGAACAGGAAGCGAGTGCGGTAGAGAACAAAAGTGAACTTGCCAAGTTGTTATTAAATACATTTTCAAAGGGCCATCTCTGAACATCCAGGATGGGACAAAAGCAAAACTGAATGTATTTTATGTGTATTTATGTAATCAGAATTTAAAGGGAGATTTTCTTTTAAAACTTCCTTCCATCCCATTTTTGATTCTTAGGCCGTATCACACATTATTTTGTCCTTAGAGATACTGTGCATACATAGATTAGAATAAGAAGTAGAAATTTGCTTGAAGTATCGACTTGAAACAAGGCTAATAGAATAAAACTTAACACTTGTCATGCCCCTTGTGGAGACTGACTCTGAGGGAGAGGAAGAACAGCCAACAGGGAGTTGGAATGTGGCTCCAGAGATGGTGGAGGAGGCTGGGGAAGGGCAGAGGCTGGCTGAGCAGTCAGAGGAGGACCCAGGCCCACCCCCTATCCATCCTAGGGCACGCAGGGAGGAGAGGATCAGGGTAAAACGTGATCCTACTCGGGAGGAGAGGGCCATGATCCTCTTCATAGGTTGCAGGTGTGAGATTTGCATAAGAGTTTGGACCTGCGTGCTAACAGATGCTGAAGACAAATTAGTGTTTTATTCCTAAAGAAGGTTTATGTTGGTTGGTGTTCTTCCAACAGACTGTACCTGGTTATCTTCCTGAAGTTGGCAGTTATCTATCCTGGTCTGTCATGGAACTTTATTCAATGCGGTTTGGTTTTGGTTTTTGCTTTGTTATTGGCTCTTTGAATTTGAACTGTGTTTCTTTCCTTTGAAATGTTATTTTGAAAATAGTTTACTCCTCCACTGTGAACAATTAAACAGTGAAGCCAAGTTGAAGGCATTAAAGGACTTTTATTTACGTTTTGGTTTTTGTTCTGGGTCATTACAACACTGCTCAATTTACCATATTGCAGCCCAGAAAATGATAGAACTGTATGCTTTCTCATAAAAATATAAATGTAAAGAACATAAGATTCTTCTTCCCAAGAATTTGTCTTGCCTAAAAGTCCCTAACTTTCATAATGAAAGCTGGCAGTCATTGCTAAGTAGATCTAGAGTAGGCATATCATCACAATAAAAACAAAGGTGAATTTTATTTGGCTATAACTTAGATTAATTTTAGAATGCAGGCAGTAATTATGCAACTGAAATTTGGCTAGATTACTTGGTCATAAATTCTTACAGTATTTTTCAAAGGATACTGTACTAATCTTCACTGGCACTGTCTTCTGATAAATTGATAAATAAATTGATATTTGTTTTAATTAATAAATAGGTAAACAAACAAACTGCTGTCATTCTGGTATATTTCTTCAGAAATTGTTGAAGGTACTGTACTAAAACCTAACTTTATTTTATTTTCTGCTCAATGATGAACCATTCATGTAACACTCAATTCATTCTAACACAGGGTTTATTTCCACATACTACTTGTACTTCAATCAGCATCTATCCTTCAACTATCAACATTAAAACTTGAGTTTTAATTCCACTCTTTAATATATCACTATCATTTTCACACAAATCTCTAAAATACTCCTTCATTCAATTTCATCTCTAATGTTTTATCACTTTTATTTCTAGAAACTTTCATTGTGCTGGAACTCTTTAGCTACTTCCAAACTTTTTAAAAAATCCATCAAAGTCAATCTGCATTTTCTGTGCATCGTTTAATTTTAATCTTTCCTTGCTTCTCTTTCACATTCATTTCTTATATGCGTTATAAAAATCTTATTTTTGCAGCAGTTATCTCATATGTACATTATATTTTCATCCACACCCTTCTTAAATTTATCATTTCAAGGACCTTTTCTTATTCTTATCATTAATATTTATTAATATTAATAACTGTTCTAGAGCATGTAATTCTTTTCACTCTATTACAAGCCATTTCCATCTTGATCTTCGTTATATCCATTTTCACTTATTCTGATGGGAAATTAATATTTTGCATAAAAGAATCATGTCTCTCCCTTCAGATGTTTTATTCTTATTTTAACGGCTTTTCCTGTTCATTGTTCTTAAGGTCTACTCTGGATACTATCAAATATATTCTATATTCAGAACCTATCATCATCTATATACAGTATTTCTGGTTCTTCTGTTATGACCTTTTACTGGAGAATAGTGCAAAAACCTATGGATTCCTATTTTCATACACATTAGAAGAACGATAACGATTAGTACTTTCTGATATACGCTTTTTCTTTTAAATCCAACCTTAACTTTTCTACATGTATTAGTTAGCCCTCTATTCATCAGAAAACTTCCCATTGTATCTTGGTTTCTGATGCCCTCCCTCCCTCTTTACCTACATTTTATCCTACACTCCAAATCATAATCTTCCATATTATTATGATTTGGTTGTCATCAGATGGGCCCACAAATATTGACCAACACTAATCACTGTCACTTTAATCGATCGACGTTTTCATGTAAGACATTTTAGTAAGATAAAGGATGTAAACTACCTTTACTTATATCATAACACATGTTGCATTAACTATTAATGTTAAGGACAGTCAGTTTGATATACTTCACCAATATTTCACAAGCATAAATAAATCTCAATTGTGCTGCAAGTTGTATCCCATGCTATTCCATGCAAGCTAGGATCTCTAGTCAGATTACCTTGCATGCCAATGTACCAAATCCCACCGACTAAAAGATATAAGCAGCATACTAACATACATTCAAATGTATCAATTTGTAAAATTTAGTGAATGAAGGTCATGATACTTCTCCCCATTAAAAAGCAAAAACAAATCTAGGGGTATGAAGTCTGCCTTGGTGAGGGACTAATAAGGCCAGTTATTTTGAAGAACTTCCTAACATATGATTTTTGAACACAGTAGACCTTTGCGCATCTTCTAAAGTTTAAAAACTCCATTGATAATCCTTCCAACATGTTGATAAGTGATCCTTGGTTCTTCAGTGAAGATCTGCTGAAGGTCTTTTTCTGACAGGAAATAAAAGCTTTTGTAAATACAGTATAGGGATGTCTTCAATACTAGCATATGTATTCATCAGTTCCATCTGTTGGGGAACCTTCTGAGAATTGAAACTTTTAAAAAAATAAATACGTTTGATTCTCCAATAGTCCCTTGGTCAACCTCCAGACATTTATATTTAGGAATTCTCATTTCTGGTTTTGACAAGCCTGGCTTAGTAGGTATTTCCATCAGGGGATGGAATCAATCAATTCAGCAGGAAACAAGAATTGGAAACTATAAGTATCTTGGTTACTTCAGAGTTATGAAGATCTTTCTTAGCCATTAATTTATTTATTTGTATGATTTTGCTTATCAGTGCCAGAAGAAAGGCAGCACAGAAGAGTCCATTAAACCAATTCAACACAAGACCATCCATTACTGTTACCCCTTCCTCTTGGAGACAAATCTTAGAGCCTAAACCAGTGTTTCCTAAAACTCGCAATTTAGCAATGTATGGACTTCAATTCCTAGCATGATGGCTAGGGAATTTTCATCTTCCCTTGATGTCAACATTGACAATTAACAAGAACAGCGAACTGAAGCTAGATATGAAGGAGACCAGCCTCTAAAGTTACAGAATTCTGAAATCCAGAGATTTAGACGGGGTTTGCCTTCTCTAGAAA